CCTGAGTTTTAGAATCTGTTGATGTCTAACCTTTGATAATAACTTTTACTGTGCTACTTATGTATATTTTCTCATAAATTTTTAGGTTGTTCCTTTAATGGTACTTTTGCGAAACATCTGGTATCAGGTTTTCTAAATATTACTTTTTTACGCCAATTTTATGTAACTTCGCTAAATATCAAGGGAGTATGCGGCTAGTACACACTGATATTGTAAATTTGCAGAAACAACTATAAACTATGTGGAGTAATTTTACTATCTGAAAAAAATTACACATTTCACTTATTGCAAATACTGTCACAACTTTGGACCAATCAGTCGGAAAAGAAACTTAATTAGATCTCTCGCCACTCGCGTCCGACGCATCTGCAGCTCTGATACCATGGAAGAAGAACTAAACTTCCTGAAAGAAACCTTCATACAAAACAGTTACCTATCAAGATTCGTGGACAAAAACATCAAACAAAAAATCCAAAAGCAAGAAACAGCATCTGTGCTAAAAAAGATACTTTATATGAACCTTGACTTCAAAGGAGATCTACTCAGTGACGTCCTTAGAAGGAGAATCTCCACCTCTTTAAGAAGAACTCTATTTGCGGCATCATTGAGAGTAGTCTTCTCTAGTCGCCCGCCGATCTGCAGAAGCCCAAAAGACAAGATCTCGCACCTGACCACTTCTATGTCTATATATCAGTTCACCTGTTGTTGTGGAGCCAGGTACATCTGTCGTTCAACGCGTATCCTGTCAAAAAGGGTCAAAGAACACTATCCAACGTGGCTACAGAAAGGAAGTAATGGCTGCATAAGAAGTGCAGTAATAGAACACCTCGTCAACACTGGTCATTCCATCTGAACAAGCGCCTCCTTGGAAGTAATTTAAAAAGTGAAGAACAACCTTCCAAAGACAGTACGATTCCGTCTTCTTTGCATCGCAGAAGCCCTAGCCATTAAGCTAGAGGAACCAGAACTGTGTATACAAAGGAAAATTATTCAACCACTTCTACTCCCATGGTAACAACTGTGTTGATTTGACTTAACTTTTCTTTGTTTGTTTGTTTGATTTGACTTAACTTTTATTTGTATGCTTATTTTTCTACTTAAAACCCTTGTGTAATTCCGTATGTTATTTTGTTTCCATGTGCACCCTGAGTACAACTCTTTCATCAAACTATTCATGTTATTACGTAACTCTTCTTTAACAATCGTTTGTGACAACTCATCACTTTTGTTACTACCCTCTATATCAACATCCAATTCATCTGAACTTACTCATTGTATTTTCGTTTGACAAATTTAATGTACACACACATAACAAACAACCATATATATTTGCGATTGTACAGCTATGAGAATGAATTCGCCGAAAAGAGACTCTTCGCTGAACTACTCATCTTCTGTCTATTAATGTTCGAATGGAAATTTTTCATGAATTTGTAATAATTGTTTATTTTAGAATTGATCCCACTATTTGTCTTAAATAGTTAGATTCACAAGTATATGACTTTATAAATTAAGAACGCTACCATAGAAGATTTGCTTTATTGCATTCCTGTGAGGGCTTCGTTACTTTGAAGTCAGTTTGGACATCCACTGCACTCGGAATAAGGAATAAGATGTAGATCTTCAAAATCAATATCAAAACAGTGCTTTTATGGTTTACAGACTCGGTGTGCGTGTCATCAAGTGCAGTTCCTACAGGTTGCTGCAGACTTTCATCAACACCTTCCTCCCCTGAATACTGAAGATGAGATAGCTGACGAGAAAGAACACACAGCAAGAAGCTTTGGTAGCGGACCAGCCAACAATCTAATACTGAAAACATATGCATAAGAAAATGGGGGTAGATTGACCATACTCTGAGGTGACCGTCGGGTGATGTCAATCGCCAAGTAGGCCCTCGACTAGAGCCTGAACGAAAAACGATGAAGTGCGCATGATGCAAGGGTTATATCAGCGAAGTCGTGGAGTAGAAAATGAGAGACTATGAGCAGTCATGGAGCCAGCTGAAATAGACCCCAGAAAACTGAGTAAACTGGCGACATGCTGTTGAAGCTCTACGTTCCACTGGGGGCAGAAATTAAATCTGGATTTTCTGCCGTGTAGGAAAACCACTTAGATCAATTCTGAAGTATGTTTATTCAGTCGACAAGTGAAAACACTTAGTGTGATAAGCAAAATCACGGAATCATCGGGATCAAGTTTTAAATTTGTGATAAAGGTACCAGAGGTTGACTCCTTTCCATATTGAGTTTTGTGTCAGGTTTACTGATACTTAAAGTTTAAATAATATTATAGTTTAAAAATAGTTCATGTCCCATGACAATGAGATCATTGTACAATATTTGATAGGTCAGCTTAAACAATCAACGTACTACTAGTCTCTGGAAGATATGTCGTAATGAAAACAAATAAGCAATTTTTTGTTCTATATAAAATTTATTAACTCTGTTAATCACAGCATATATGATTCATTTAAAGTAATTATTGAAATGTTGTAGAAGGTCCCTTGATGGTTTCATTCCTCCCAGTTCATGTCTGAAAAAAAGTAGCGTATTTATCAAACGTAAGCGAATGGAATTCCAGTATACAGTACTTTTATTTTTTTAAAAAGCATTTCAAAAACATCTGACTGGATCCATTGAGATGAAATCAGGCGTATCTATATATTCTGAGAAATTTATTCTCTGATGTGACTCTGAATCTACCATGGTAATACGTTTTACTTATAATTCTACCTCTTATTATTATTTTATTATTACTATTATTATTCTCATTATTATTATTCTTGATTCATTTAAAACTATCCTTTATCAGTAGCATTATCTTAACTCACTTCAGCACTATTATTATTGTTATTATAACTATTACTATTGACATCCCTCTGGTTGCAATTCTTGTTAAATTCTGTAATGTCTGTTTATCTAAGTGATGTAATTGAAGCGTAATGCAATTTATCTTAATTTTGATCTCCCATACTCTCTCTCCCCTTATCTAATTGAACATGACCTGGAAAAACATTAGCACCTGTCTTTCTGCATGACTAATTCAATGTAAAACAAACAATAAAGGTTAATAAAGCAGGATTTACTGAATTCATCAAATTTCGGTAGAACTCGTCAGCTGAAAAAACCGAAATTTGATGAATTCATTAAATCCTGCTTTATTAACCTTTATTGCTTGTTTTAAATTCGTATCGGGAAATAAATGTTTCTAATTCAATGTAGTTTATTTACTTATCAGTCCTATATCTACCAATGTAATTTCAAAAGTATATATATCCGTGTATGTAAAGTATTCAGTCCTATATCTCCCAATGTAACTTCAAAAGTATATATCCGTGTATGTATGTGCGTCGGTGGCACAGTGGTTAGGACTCTCGCCAACCATGCACATGGTCCGGGGTTCGATCCCCTGCCGGCGCACACCCGATATCTATGGTCGGCCTGTAAATTTGGGCTACCGATATCCATGCTGAAAATTCCATACTTGTACTGAAAATAAGGTGTGGAATCAAGCTGTAATCAAAATAAAAAAATAAAATAATATGTAGAGTATTCAGCTGACGAGTTCTACCGAAATTTGATGAATTCATTAAATCCTGCCTTATTAACCTTTATTGCTTGTTTTAAATTCGTATCGGGAAGTAAATGTTTCATATTCTCTGATGATTAGGAATTTGTGAAGCTATAATTTCAGTATTGAAGTTTTCGAAGACTAATAATTGTCAAATTTAAACTATTGGTGAATAAAGCCCTTTGCAGTATATCTTGCTTGTGCGTGCTGAATGTCTTCATATTCCTAGTCGTAGGTCAAACCATGTAAGCATGTAGATTTTCCTTCAGCAACCTACGAAATTCAGTGCTCTTTCAGGGCAACTGGTTCTGAAGAGGATGTCGAACTATAATATAATCTTAACTTCCTTAAAAATACCGCCATCGTTTAAATTTTATTGACAACAGTTTACTTTTTGTCAAATGCTTTCTCATCTGTAATATCTATGCCTTGCTTATTTATACTCATAGGAGAATGTGGAGAATTATTGATTTGGAGACTTGATTTTCAAAATTAGGTAGAGTAATAGTTAAGAAGGGTAAATCAATCTATGAATTTATGAAGCTACATGAAGTGAGACGGCTAGGACACATGTTACGCGTGCCGAGCCATCGCCTTCTTCATCCAGCAATGTTAGCCAGCTGACATAGGGCTAGGTCAGGAAACAGTAAGGTGTGGTCAAACTGAAACCTGCAATCAGTCCATCAGTTTTTGACAGTTAGTTTGAGAGACGTAGGGAGGTGTAGACTAACTGGTGGAGTTTTCAGAATGCTACGGACCGATGGTTGGAGACTTTTGGTGAGCTGACTTAAAGTCGTTCCGACCTACCAAATCCATCAAACTCTGGTGTTTTTTTAAATTGTTACTCTTCTTTCTTCCGCATATTTCTGCTCCTCACAGCTCCTCGGAAACTCTTTTTCCTTACTTTTCTCTACTTTTATGTGCTAAGTGGAATGTGGTAACTTCAACAGCTGCACATTTATGCAAAGTTCTATACTGAAACTCAGTGAGAGGCCGAAGAAAAGAAGAAAAACTGAAGAAGTAGGAGGATAAATTAAGTGCGGCAACCTTTCTGTTAGTGATATTTCCCTAATTGTACTTAATTCTTAGCACCGTTTATCATAGTAAAACTTTACGTTTTTTAAGTGTAAGAATTGGGAGTTCAATAGTGAAGTAAATAGAATAAATTCGAACCTGTTTGTAGCGCAGCATAATTAATCATGTAAGTATTTTTATCTCATATTCAAAAAACTCATTTCTGTGTTTTAATTCTAACTTCAGAGAAGGGTCACTTCATTTATATATGAGCCAGAAATAATTTGAAGTTCACTGAGAAATTAATATTCTGCAGTTTTTGAAAATGACTTCCAAGCTCACACATAAAGGCAGTTTATTTAAGTAACATTTTGGAAATTACAATTCCTAATATGTGAGACATAACTGTGCATCTAGTCAGCTGAAGAAATGATACGAAGTAGCATTAAAGCAATTGTAGAAATTGAGGACTTTGAAAGAATGTAATTCTATACTAGACAAGTGGAATTGACATGATTGTGAGCGATAAATTGTGCTCGAAACATCATCCAGTAGTTGGTACTGCATCACTAAGTGTTGCACCGGATAAGCTTATCTAATATGAAATGATACGAGGAAAAAGTATTTAACAATGTTGCATTATCCAAACATCCGTTTCCAACTCCCTGATGACTACTATGTGGATATCTTGAAGCTTTACTGCGAACTCCTGACCAGTGGGGTCCACCATGCCTAAGCGAAGGGGATTTTCATTGAAAGTATTGATTGGGATAGTGATATATCGTTAGTGAATTCCTGCCAAAGTGTTTGAATAAGTCAACGAACTTAATTTCATAAGCTGAAAGACTCAGGTTCTTCTACCATCCGAAACTTCACTCAAACGATGAATATGAATTTGAAGCAAAAATAATTAAAATTTTGACAAATAAGCAAATTGCAGAAATACAGAGTAGACTGATTTCGAAACACATACTCACCTTGCATAATACCTTTGAATTAGGACATCTTATTTTCACTTCATACGTTTTACCGTCCAAAACAAATTTACCAGTTTTGTCTTTTTCATCTTTCTTGCATGTAACAGTTTGTCCACTGAAGTCTATATCAATATCACCACCGGGTTTGCACGTGTACTAAAAGATTAAAAAACGAAATGTCTTTTTTTATTCAAGACAACTGACTCACAAATAAAATGACTCATTGAATAGTTAAGCCCTAACGTTTTATTGTATTGAATGATTCTGAAGAAAATAACTTAGATTGTTTACTTAATGTTAATGTAGTATATACTGATAAGTCATGTAGAAATTTAATAACTTCGACTGTTGGCATTTAGACAACAAATATTTTGTGTTGTTGAAATTTACAGTTTCCAGAATCTCAAAACAACATACACACACAACTCTCTGACAAGTACCACAAGAAGCACACAACTAATCTTCACCGTTTGCTACAAATCTCTCGCAACCATCTAACATCAATCGAAAGTGCACTGTGGTGGTGATTCATCTGCCTTAATGAACTTGACTGATAGAATTTAGTCAATAAAAACACCACCACAGACGAGGCGTATAACATCACTTACTTCCGCGTGACCAATTAATGCAGTTCCAGTGTGCCAGGATGTACGTTAGATATAATAGAATAATTATATCCAGTTGAAGAAACGCTGAACCCAATTAAGGAGTTTCAGACTTAATGTAAAAGGATTTAGATTCACCTTCCAAGAAAAAGCATACAAACAAATCGATGGTGTTGCGATGGGGAGCCCTCTTGGGCCCCTATTAGCAGATATATTCGTGTCAAAATTGGAAAAACAAATGCAAGGTATGCTTGGAGAATTTATCCTATATAAACGTTATGTAGATGATACTCTCATTATTGGTAATAATATTAAATCTATTGAAAATTTTATTACCCTATTTAATCGTATTCATCCAAATATCCGAGTGAATTCCAAACTAGAATCGAATAACAAACTCGGTTTCCTGAATATTACAAGGACCAGGAGAGATGATGGAACGATTAAGAGATCTATTTTCCGTAAACATACATGGAGTGGACAGTATCTTCATTTTACCAGTTTTGTTCCTATTCAGTATAAACGTTCCCTAGTGAAATGTTTGTTCTCAAGGGCCCGAAAAATATGCACGAGTGACACAGTGACGGATGAGTTTCGACATATACATTCAGTTTTATTAGCTAATGGGTATCCGGAAAACTTTATCACTAGTCACAGTAAAGGAAGACCGCATCTTGAAAAGACAGCTTCTGTACCAAAGAAAGCTATCTTTATTAACCTACCATTCAAGGGTGACCAGATTATGCAGTTGACAGCTAACTCAAAGACTTCGGTCAGCCATCAAACGCACATTCTACGCCACATCTCTTCTTCTCACTTTCCGAACATTTTCGAACCCTGTGCCTACGATTAAAGGACGAAACTCTGTGGACTCTACTTCAAACTGTATCTACAAGTTCACCTGCAGCTGTGGTGACACCTATATAGGTAGAACCAGTAGAATGTTCCAATGTCGTCGTCGAAAAGAACATATTCCAAAATGGTTACTAAATAATATAGAAAATCCCAATGCGAGTAATCTGAATAGAAATCCAGCATCATCCATTGCAAAACACTTATTAATGTCAGGTCACAAAATAAATATTAATGACGGTTTCACAATTATTTCACATAACTCTAATTCAAGGTTATTGAAAGTGATGGAAGCACTTTGGGGATTAATCACATAAAGCCTAAACTGTGTGTACAAAATACACAATAAACTTCAATCTTCGCCTACTCTGGACTACATGACCTATCTAAATATGATTGGTCATGAGTATGTACTTTTGTTTTTTATTTAACTGAGTAACTGTCATGAACTTTATTTTATTATTGTTAACCATGTTAGTTGTAAAGCGATTGTAAAGAAACTACAAAATGACCATATCATCTCGCGAAATTTGTCTTCTTAACGCCTTATTCAAATTTATCAAAGGGACTGAATGTTTTAAAATTATTTAGTTAATTCAAATGTGAATTCAGAAACCAAGTCAAATAAAGAGAAAAATAAATTAAGCTGATTAAAGCAGTGAAGAAGCTTTACAACTCAGATGAGTGTATTCAGCATCTTTGTATTCCCTAGGCTAGATGATTAAATTGTGAAGCTCTAATTACCCTTCTGGACGACATCTGCAACAGTAGCTTTAAACTAACTTACTTTACTTTACTTTACTTCGGCTATCTCCTACGGGAGGATGAGCCGGCTTCATGAACATCTCGAATCATCGCTGCCCAAGTGCGGCGATCTGATGAAGAGAGTTCATGAAGTTTCATGGGAATTTAGTACGAGTGATGTCCCCAGAATCGCTCGGCCTTTTGTTTGAGAGTGCAGCTCTAGCCTTTACACAACCAAGTGTGACCTACAAGGCAGTAGGAGGGGAGTAGGGAGTCCACTATCCATTGGCAGCCGCTGACCGGAGTTAAGTTCATACGCCTTTTTGAATAGGGCCAGACATCCAGGACATCCAACAAGCCCTTTGTCCATACGTCTGCCGGTGAGCTCCAGTGAGCTTCATACGCCAGTCGTTGGAGGTTTGGAATCAGGGTTTAGCCATCTCCCCTAGACTGTCATCCAATGGACAGTCAACCCGGTGAAGAGCGCCGGGCATCCGCTTTCGCCCTCTCACTTTGGTGAAAAACACCTCCGCCACGTGAAGGCAGTGAGTAGGACTTCCTCAGGAGAGGCTATGTAAGACGCCCGGTCATATTCAATATCAAATTATTTATCACATTGTTTTCATGTGTCTAAGTATAACACCTACAGCACTGACAATGCTGCTCCACAATTCTCATGTTTTAGCCTAGAAGTATGTTTAAAAATCAACATATAGTATGACAATGACAATGAAGGTAAAATTCTTGAACTCAGTCAACTGAGGTTTCAAATTTAATAAACGTTAATCTTAGAATTCTAGAAGTTGAAGTGTAGGTACTTCTGCTACGCAAATTGTGTCATTAAACCTAAAACTGGTTTTTCTAATTCTTGGTATTAGATGGTTGGAGGCAATCGGCAGGAAGCCTTGGACCTAGGTTTCGTGCTAGTTGGCACTCATCAGCAAGGCGTATCTGCAACCTTGAAGGAACTGATGTCCCTTCTGAGATTCGAACCCGCGTCACCCAGTGCTGCAGTCAGAGACGTTACCACTGAGCTATTCAGGCTCGCGACTGACCTCCTGTAGGACTGTGTTGGATATTTTTGATCAATCAAAAATATTTTCTAATTCTGTTTATCAATACGGATGATTTTATCACACAGAATAATAGTATTAAGCGCACGACTGCATACACTTACTTTGTGACAACTACCCTTTATTGTACCGTCTAAAGTCCATACAGAATATCCTTGTGTATATCTCCAAGTTCCAGTATGCTGCAGACAAATTGCTTTTCCAAATGACTGCAAAAATTTGTTTCCTTCTTTATCTATAATACAAATGATACAGGTACACATATTAAGTGACACAATTTATCAAAATAAACGTTAAGCACAAATTAATATCCAATGTTATTTATTTACCAATGGAATTCACAACAGATGTCCTGTACAGTATGGTGTTCATCACATGCAGATTCACGCCGAAATCCCCCCCCTCAGTAAGTGTCAGAACTTCCACACTGAAACTGGAAGCCAAATACCATTGCTATGGACATTAAGTCGTCAGCTATACGATGAGTATCCAACTGTACAGGATGAATGATTTCGACTGTATGAGACTGATCAACATCAAACAAATCAGTTCAGGTTAGAAATTAAGCGTTAAAAAAAAATAGGCAAAATTAGAAATCCTCATTGCAGTGCAGAAATATCTACCAGAAATCACAATAATCAGTCGGTATAACGCACTGTGTTTATAGGAAGATGTTGACTTGTGTTGGTCAATGCTTCTTCTAAAGTTTTTCTGCTCATTGTCATTTTTTAAAGGAAAGTTAGGACACCATTAAGGAGTTGTTACTCATGACCTATACGGATTTGCGGTTTCGCAGCTTTCCGGATTTTATAGATTTGATTATCTTTTGTTGGTTCAATATTTAACTGCAGTAATGTGAAGAAACATGGCTAAAAATAATTGTAGAGACTCAAGGAAATCATATGAATTATTATTCGACCCAAACAGTATGAAAGTATTTGTGTTTTTCACTTTCCTTCAGTCTACTGTTTTCTGAAAGGTGTCAGTTATTAAACTTCAAAGAATACAACCATATGTATAAAGTAATTCACACAATATTTTATGCGATTCTGAAGTTGACAGATTCAGGGTTTCGACAGGTTGATCACAGATTGATATCAGTTAGAGAACCATTGAAAACAAGCAGGGAGTACTAGACAGCTGTTTCATGCTACTTCGGGACTCATCAGCAGTATGCATCCACTGCCAGAGTTGGAACCAAGGACCTCCCGGTTACAAGGCAAGCTCATGTGCCATTCAGCCATTGCGAAACGATTCAATGGCCCATGAATTCTAACTTCCACCGATTACTGATTTTAGTGCTACCACCAGCTTGTGTCATCGGTGGGAACTCCAGCCTTACACTTGAATGGATGGACCTCACTAGTCACGACTTCTCGCCAAAACTCCAGGAAACTCCATCCTGTAGCAAGTCACTAGCAAGCATTCAGAGTTGTTCTATAACTTGTGGAAATCAGCTTTACACTTATCGGTAGAAATTTATCTACCAATGGTACTACCTATTTTAACACCGATTTAGAAACTTCTTCCGAAGTGAAAATCACACCATTACACACTTTTGTAACTTTCATTCGATCAGTTACCAGCGAATCCTATTTCCTGTCTTTCAGCCTTTTCTTTAAAAAACATTTCGAATGAAACTTAAAGATATTAGAAGTTAGTTATAGGATGGTGACAAGCGTTGGGACCAAGGATGTGCATTTCGTCCTATTTCGGATTCGCCACCGGATGTAGCTGCATTCCACAGTGAGAGATGATGTCCCCACCGAGGCTTGAACCCTGTGCCCATAGTTTTAAATGCCATAGTGTTATCCACTAGATCACTTGGACCACGACAACCCCCTCTGTGCAACGGGTCATATTATTTATTAAATTTATTGCTAGATTTTCCCCTCGATTGACTGGACCAATGTGTTCGGTCTCAAGTTGACATGTCGGCTTCTTGTGCAGATGCTACAACAATTTCTGAGTATGTAATTAGAAGTTAATTGGTGTATCCAGCTGTCGAGTCCTAAATAAGACGAAATGCGCACCCTGGATTCCACTGGTAGTCACCATCCCTAAATTAACCTCTAATTGCATGCCTAGATATCGTCGAAGCATATGCACAAGAAGCCGACATGTCAATTGGAGACCGAGCACTTAGGTCCAATCAATCGATTGGAAAATCTAAAATTAAATTAAATAATTAAAGACAGTTACTTTACAATTATAAAGTATAATAGCGACAACAGACCTATTTAAAACATTGGGCCACTAAAATTTAATCTATTTCATATTGGTTCAATCATCTAAACACGTGCATGAACGGCAGGAAAAAACACTGTACAGTAGTGAAAAATACTTAGGATGGGATAATATAGCTTCGGGAGGTGATATACTACTTGGACATTCTGCACAGGGAGCAAATACTTTGCGATGAAACATATCAAAAATGCTGTATTGTTTATGAATACAGTTTTCAGAATGAAACTATTATTGCTATTATTATCACCACCAATTTTGGATTTAGTTTAGAGAAGTATATATATATATGTGCGTCCGTGGCTCACTGAGCATGCACATGGTCTGGAGTTCGAGTCCCGGTCGACGCACTTCCAAACCTCGCTAAGCCAGTAGTAAGACTGGTAAAGAGGGAAGGTTGGGCATGAGGCTAGTAACCACATCCTGTAAAAATAAGCACTACTACAGAAACTTCAAGCCTCTAGCTTGAAGCCTTATGTTCTACTAGGAACGTGAAGGAATATATATACATATATATGTATATACATAAATAGCGGCTTTATCACTTGAACATATACCTTCGCTTCCGTGTCTTGCCTTCTGATATTACACTTTAACTATTTCATAAGTCTTATTGACACTTATATTATATAACACTACATATATATTAGTTTTATTTCAGCTTCTAAATGCAAATAAGTATAAAACATTATTCATGAAAAATTCTGAAGCATAAGTGCTTACCAAGTTTAGCATTATTTTCCGCATGTTTACAATATGATGTGATGTTTAGACTTCCAAGCGAACTTAAGAACTGGAAGAAAATAATCCAGGTAGAAATGATAAAATTATGATAAATTTATGCTTTATGTAAGGTAAAAATAAAATAGTTTTTTTTCTCTCTCTGTGTGATTGTTTCATTATAAAAAAAGAAATGAAATTTTACTAGTTTTGAATTTAAAGACAAGCTGACGAAGATGTAACTGCACATCATCACATGGGACACAAACATACTCTTCTACATTATTCGTGGTAAGCAGAGTATCGCTAAAAAAATGAAGTTTTTCACTGGTAAGTAAGCGATAGAAACCGATCTGAGCTTTGTGCTGTTTAGCAACATATATCTCAGTTATGTTACTGATTCGGGGATTGTTGGAATTAATTAGTTTACTACCCGATGATGCAATGTACCTCAGTATATAATATTCAGCGTAATTGATAATCAGTTAGATGAGTTTGCATGTATACGATTTTTACAAATATAAATGTTCATTTTATAAAGTTGTTCTATGCATTTCTATGACGTCAAAGTGGCTACCATGTACAGTATTCATTGACATGAATTACAGTATACAAGGGAAGGTTCGTTATAAAATGTCTGTATTATCAAAAATTCTAGGCGATTTATGTAGAGTTGGGTTTTTTTAGCGATTCGATTTTCTTGTAAGATTGATGACGGAGTGATATCAGTAAGGGGAACTATTGAAAACCATTGAGGAGTACTAGACAGGTGTTTCATCCTAGTTTGAGGTTCATTGGCAGTACGCACCCTCCAAGATTAGAACCCAGGTCCTTCTTGCTGCAAAGCAATTTCGTAGACCAACCATTCAGCCACTGGTACCCGACTCAACTAGCAGCCCATGAATTCCTGACTTCTACGAATTCGTGGTTTTAGCGTCGTGCTAAAATTCAGCTCTTCTGATATATATGACATTCCAGTAGGACTCAGAAAGTTTGCTTCTTTACTAGCTCGAAGGGTTTACTTATTTTATCTTGATAAATTATATATATATGTATATATATTGAACTCATTATCAGATGAAGCAGGCCGAGAGAACCGAAAAGAATTTGAGTAGTATAATATAGTAAATAAAACATAACAACATTTTCCAAGAAGAGAAGTCACAATTATGTAGTCAGAAATTATAATAGATATAGTATAAATATTGTGCTTTTGCTGTATTATTTCAAAATATTTCACATACCGATAATGTTGGACATTTATCTTTAAACACATTACTTCCTCCCAATCGGTTATAATTTCTACCTGCTTCAGGACCAAAAAATTGATCTGCAGGTGGCAGAGGTAGTGGGTATGGATACACATCACAAAGACCGTATGTATATAGATCTCTGCATGCAACAACATTCGGTTCATCACAATAGGGCTTAATACTTTCATGTCTATAATATCAAAAATAAGTAAAACAACAACAACAACAAAGAAAATGAAACGAATACACTGCTTCCTTTCAATGCAATCATTTATCACAAATTTTCATTAGACCTTTCTGATTAAGTTTGAAGCGCTGAATAAATCGAGTGAAAGAAACATTGTCACAAATCAGTCGAAACATTTAAATATTTGAACGAAGCATTAAAAAAAATTAACTGGGAAGCCTCGTGTGACAACACTCTATTTCGTTGGTTTTGTTTTCAGATGGACATAAACTAAAAGAAATCTTGACATTAATGTGTAAGGCATTTGCGTGACTATTTAGAAAATGATAAACAATAATATAACATATAATCCACAAGATACATCCTTCAAATGTAGTTATATCGTTTCGTCTATCACAACAATCCATTCTCACGGCTGTGAGCCGACTCTACTGTGGTAAATAAAACGCATAAATATTATTTGTTGTTCCTAAAGTATACAGTATCTTACAGTCACAGATGAGCCTTGGTCATTTGATATTTGCTTGGCTCAGTGAACTGGATAGTACAAAGGACAAATAGGCGTAGTAGCGAACCAGTCGACTTCATTACCGTCATCACAGTTAGCGGTGCAGATATAGCAAAGTAGTGACGGGGTTTATTCACTTCGGTGGAGTTATAAAAGAACCATAAATCACATTCGCAATCTGCAAATATTAATTTACAATGCACACAATTCCAGGTAAATTTGATCACAGTTTCCTCTGGAAATTGAGATGATTAAGATTACAATATGTGATCTGCTTGATACTGCAAGGGGGTAATCAGGAAGCCAAGCATAACTGCATAAAATTTAAATACTGCAGGCTGATTGACACGAGTAGTTATACACCATTCACATTAAACAGTAGTGCAAAGTGATGTAAACACTGGATGGCCTCAAAACAGCCTGGTGGCCGTTTGATTTCCAGAGAAACGTAGTCTGAAATTTCATCTCGAACTATGTAGACGGCATATATTAATTGCCAGTCATCTCAAACTGCTTTTTGCGAAAATTTCAGATTATTCAATAGTCCCACCTCGAAGCAAATGATTAAGCAGACTGAAAAGTTACACCACTAATATAACATAAATCAAATTCAAGGCGATACTTCACAAAGTTTAATCGAAAATGATTTCGGTAGACACATTTTACAACTGTGACTTTTATGTAGAAATTCTCCGAAAAACACATAAATAGTATGTATCACCTAAGTTTCAATTTACTTTCCGTTTAAGTTAAGACTTCGTGTGGCGCACGACCACCGAAAAGTTGTCAAGTGAGATTTTTAAATTTAATACCTTGACGTTTTTCGATGGTATGTATATTCACAAAACAGCTGCCTATAGTTTTGTCTTCCTTCGACTTTGCGGCGTTTCACAGTCAACACAGTAGAGATTGAATTGACTGATTTGTTTTGCGAGAAACATCCATCGGAAAAATTTTAAACTTAAGACTTACAGGGACATTTTTTAGAAATATCTTTCTCATATGAATTACCCGACTTTGGATTTACTGCTGTTTTGGGCTAATTTTATTTCTGTGTTATCCGTGAACAGTGTATGATGTGATAAACAGGCGAAATGTTTATTTTACCTACCTTTTTCTTTTCTGGGAAGCGAAATGGTAACAGCTGCCTAAAGCAAATCCACAGCCATATCCCTTAGCATAATTCCATTTGTCTGCCAATTTAAAGTTTACGGTGTACCACCTAGAAGTATAGTAAAATAAACCGGATTCGAATGATAATTTTTAAGAATGGTAAATATAAAACTTTACACCCAAGAAATGATACAGAAAACTTGAAATAATCAGTAATAACTGTTCACGGCTTCTTCTTCTTTTTCCAGTTGATATTCGTGGTCCTGTTTGTTCAGGAAATCACCAATATGGATGTAGAAGTATCACGAGCTTATATATACTGAGAAAAACGTTAATCTGAAGTAACGTGATGGATGACGCTTGAAGATGTTAAGTTTTAATACTATTGTAACGACAGAAGACTTCTTTTAGAGAGACTTGTTCAAGGAATGCCTACACGTAACTTGGCATCGCTATCTATCGAAATTATGTACACCTTATCTTCAAATCACCATTTGCACAGATCTTCCATTTTGGGCTACTTCTGGACTTCATATTGTCTTCCTTTGTGTACCATTCATGTCTCCCACGTATCTCCACAACTCTGAATAGTTTCTTTTCTCTTACATCAAATATATTATCCCTGCTATTTGATGCTTTTATGCTGACAATCGTCTCTTTATATACTACTGATAAGTCCTATCAGTAGCACACGTCATACTATTATGAGTACTATGACTTAATCAAATGCAGTTATAGCTAATTCATCAGTCTGATAAAAACACTGAAGTGCTCCTTATGGTTTCCAATCCCAGATGCTACCAAACAGTCAACATGAAAACTGAATTTGATTCATGTTTGTTGGACGGCTTATTTTCACAAAAGTTTAATTTTCATAGTTTCAGTATCGGATGATTTTACACACACATGGTTTAATGTTGCTATAGAATGAGCCATGAATTTTCCTAATAATGACTTTAAACTGTTGTGCTGTGCTGTTACATCTTTCCACTTTAAATAAATGGATATCCTTATCCTGATCGAATTTATATATGCTACAAAACAGTGGACAGTTCCGGAGCTTGATAAAATCAAGGCAAATGTTTTCTAGACACTCCCTGGAAGCATAAGTGTGCCAGTGTTTGATTCTGACTACTGTGATGAAATAGCACGCTTATGCGTAGAATTGTAGCTGAACAATCTAAGAATATTGAAATTATTTTCTGTTTATAACAGGGTACTCGTACATATCCGAGAAATGTCTCGAAAATTTTGTACGACATTTTTATGACAGAACCATGAATTTCACTATTTGACGTGGGTATTTATGCATAGATTCTTTATTTACCTAGGCTGTAGTATTTTAGAAAATTGTCCACAAAATGGCCGTTTCAGCAGACAGCCAATCGTTGGATCCGCATTCAAAAATTGATAGGAGTAATCTGAGCTCTTAAGGACTATCTATGAGTCATTCACATGTCTTAAAACTGAGAGTAAAGTGGCAGAAAATGCTTTCTGTCCCATGCATTTCCATAAATTTATCTGAGAAACAACTACTGATTACAATGTCAGTAGAAAGTGTGATCACCGAATAACAACATCGCATCAGAAGTCTATAAAAAACAGGCATGTATTGACTCTTGCACGGAATGAATGTAAGTCAGTAAAACTATTCTTAAAATTTCAGGATCATGTCTAATATCTTTTCTACAATAAAACTAATCAAAAGCCTTTAAACCACGCGTTTCCAGAAGCATAATCTATGACTTTTAACTAGAATAATTCATAAGGATTATAAATGTTTACGTTAAACATTACTAGCAAGCAGTTACTTTAATACGAACATTTTTCAGAGTGAGGGACACTAATGTAGACCACATACTCCATAATTTGTTTCCCTTTCAATTAACTAGTTTTGAAAATAACCTGACTCAAGTTAGATCTTGAAGTGATATTGTTTAAACTACAACGAAACAGCTGTTTTGTCCTAGTTCCACACCTTCCAACAATCCTTATCCAGGACGTTTGGGTTATGCGACCAACTCCCTCCTATATAGTCAGTAGATAGAAACTGAACAGGTCTATAAATGGATACAGGACTTAATCATGAGCTGAAGTCGGTTAGAGAACCATTTGGAAAATCTGGAAGTACTGGACAGCTGTTTCGTCCTATTTTGGGACTCTTCACCAGTACGCACCCATGATGAAATCCTGTAACCAATCAACCAAATCCCTACAAACAAATACTTGAAGGTCTATGAATGGTTACTTCTGTTAACTCACGATATATGCGGCAGATACAAGTCAGTGCAGTCGGCAAGTGTTTGTCTCGACTCCCATCCTGGTGGAGCCCACTGATCAGGACTTATAATCAGGGCTTCAGTGGTTCTCTGATGTCTGAACTGGTGTCAGTTCATGATTAGACTTGAAATCAATTAAATTCATGCAAACCAACACTTGGGAATTAAACCGTGATAGTTAAATTCCCAAAATGCGCCGTCACACTGCAGCATCAGAATAAATGCAAAGTTTCCAAGATAATGAAAAAACTAAAAACTCTACCAGTGATAAAATATCCTGAAAATACGTAAATATAAAGCCCAAACAAAATGTAGAAGAGGATTCGATGCATTTAATTGGGTAAACATTGATGAAATGCCGCTAACTGAAATGAATCTGCAGCACAGTTAATAATTCAGATTTCAACATATTGTAAGATATGTAGTCGAGGAAAGCGTTTAGTCTACAAAGATCTTGTTTCAACTCACCCTGAATCCACAAAATATGCAAGTGTTACTCTTGATGCAAAGGCTTCCACTTCGGAGGAAGCAGCCATCAGCTCCATCTAAAGGTAGATTATTATTGAAGAAATCAGGTTTCCAAAGTGAATTATGAACACATACAATAACTTGATGACATAACAATATCAAAAAAATTCAAAAGTATATAATAGGGACACATAAAATCAAGCGGTGCAATAAAGTTACAATACCAAGCATGAAAGTAATAGGCAACGTTTATTCTTAACCTGTAAATTTCACATTTTTCTGGCTCTAAAGTCGAAACATTCTCAATGAACTATATGAACTGTTTTACCTCAATAGTTCTTGCACGATGACAAGTATGGGATTTATGCTGAACACAGTAATTTAATTTCATTAGTTGTGGGTAGATTACTGGGATTATTATTGCTGTCATTTCCTTTAATTCTTAGTGGAATATAGGGCTTCAGTCGGACGTCTCCAATGTGTTCATTTCTTTGTCAATGTTTTTACCTGGCTCCACGTCTGCCCACATGTTTTAATCTCCTCTTCGCATGACCTCCTATAGGTCACCCTCGCCCAGACTACCTACCCGTAGCTTCCCACTTGGCTTCCACTTGAGTGATAGCCTGGCGTGTGATTTCACTTGATGGTTTTCTCAGAATATGACCAATCCAACTCCATTTCTTCCTGATTACCAACAAATGTCTGAATACATTGGACACAAATTGTTAAAGAGATTTTTCCTTATCAAAGACGTCATCATGAAAGTCTGTTCAAATATACTCATATTTATCAATAAGTAAAGCAGTACATAAATGAGTAATTGGAGGTTTTTGTGATATAACTGATACAACTGTTCAGAAGTGGTTTCTAAAGGTCAAATCTGGATAAGGTGGAATTTCTTAAATAAATGAGAAGCGAGGTAATTGACAGTTCACTTGACCAGTGTATAGAACTTGCGGGAAAATGTAATAGTCGATTAATTACATAAAAATAGAAGCGAGCTACTAGAAAGGAGTTTAGGAGTTCAAGTTTTTCAGTTGAAAAATCTATCCTTCTTGTTCGCAATATTTATAGTATCATTCTTATGCGATATTTTATACGTTTTACTGTTCGTCGTTTCGTTTTCTTCACACTTATCAAGTGGACACTCAATGATTATTAAATCTCAGGCCCTTGCTTTTATTGCGTTGATGGCTATTATATGATTTCTCATTGATTTTAGGAACCACCTTCAAGTAATACTGTCAACTGCATCACGCTCAATATCCCCCTATTACAGACTACTATAAGTTTTTGGCAAATATAACTACGATTTTGCAAAGCTTCAAGACAACTTCGTCCTTGAATTGTCCTTCGTTTTCTTCATGACGAAATTTTCTTTAAAAATGACACAGTTATGTTTTATTGGACACTAGTCAGTAACTAGTGTAATGCATCTTGTCCTATCTATGGTGCAGAGTGGATTCTATCAGTCAAGCTTGTAATGTGGCCAGCGTCGATTAGACAGATTACACTAATTACTAACTAGTGTCCAAACAAAAAATATCGAATACAGTCCTACAGGAGGTCAGTCGCCGGCCTGAATAGCTCAGTGGTAAAGTCTCGGACTGCAGCACTGGCTGACGCGAGTTCGAATCTCAGAAGGGACATGATTTCTTTCGAGGTTGCACAGACAAGCCTTGCTGACAAGTGCCAACTAGCCCGAGACCTAGGTCATGTAGGGCTTCCTGTGGCCGATTGCCTCCAACCATATAATACTGACAATGACACACCTATTTTGTTAGACGAGTTCGAAAGTACCATTCAATTTGAGCCGTCGTGTAAATAACATTTAGGATAAAATCTATTGTTCCATACCGAATATACTCTGCCTTCTAAATGTGAGCCATAGGAACCGGAAGAGCCTTCGTTTTCCAAATCAACACCATCTACAGATTGACACTGAAAATGACTCTTTGCTTCTTTCTAAAATACAAGCAAATACAAATAAAATTTTGAAGTCTGTTAATTTATATTTTTATCACGGAAAAAAGCATACGGCTCATAATGCATCTATATCAGGTGCATTTTATTTATTATAATGAACATCAAAGTGTGAGAAAATCAAAACACACATCTCTCATAACAGGCTCTAGTTTCGACACTGGTGACTTCAGATACCCCTGAAGTTAGCCTCAGTTGCGCTTATATGCTTGGGTATGCGTGGAAATGTTTAACTGAAAAATGAATGGCGGTATTAGGTGATGGATGTCAGAAATCATGAACCGCTTCAAAATAGGTTACTTATGCTTTAGGGCACCCTAAAGAACACCGTATAGAGCAAGTAAAAACGGTAGAAAACTTCCGATTATATTCAGTTTACCGCTTCCTATCAGAAAAGTAAGAATGTGACCACTTATTAGTCCAGCACTGTGCATGTTACGCAGCAAGCTTGTTTAACAAAAGAAGACTAGGTACAGAGTTGAAGGTAGATGTGTAATCTAGGAAGGCACACCGAATATATTGGACAACTCTGTCTTAACTATGGACAATATTATGATATAAGACAACAATAGCATCTAACGTACACCTAATATCTTTTTAACCAAATCGGTTTAGGTAGTTGAAAGCCTTCAATGAAGTTTCAAGGTTTTAGTGAAAGCAGTTTTCCCATTCTTTTTAAAAATGGTGAGGTAATAGCAAAAGGTATAAACTTAACGCTAAATCCACTTGATGATTTAGAGACAGGAACATGGGGCTTAAACAGTACCTCTCCATTTCATTCTTTTATCTTCTATCCTCTTTAGCTAGATCGACGACTATCCATAAATTTTCATTTCCTCCTCACACGATCTCCTCCATATCACCCTCGAGTGTCCATCTCATCGTTTTCGATTCAGATTGCTCTGAGAGGCTTGTCTGGGGTTTGGTGTCACTTAATGGTCCCTTCAGGTTGTATCCTATCCACCTCTATTGACTTCGTTACATTTGTTGTTGTCATTCGTTGACTTCGAATTATATGTATTTACATGATGAAGAGACTCAAATCAAACCATAGCAGTTTTTTTATTCCTTCACGTTCCCCAGTGGAACATAGGGATTCAAGCTAGTGACTTGAATTTTCTATAGCTGTGTTTATTTTACGGGATGAGGTTGCTTGCCTCATGCCCAACCTTTCCTCTTCACCAGCATTATTTCTGGCTTAGTGAGGTAAAGGAGTGCGTCGGTGGACAGGGATCGAACCCCGGACCATGTGCATGTTTGGCGAGCGTCCTAACCGCTACGCCACCGACACCGTAGCAGTATTCTGGGCTATATGTCAATTAATTTAAGTGTTGGTTTGAAGGGAATTGATGTGTTTTTCAGGATTTCATCATGGGTTGATATCGGTTAAGGAACCATTGGGAAAGTTAGGGGTACTGTGGATAGCTGCCACTTTCTACTTTGAGACTCTTAAGCAGTACGCAGTACGGGTACATGGCCTTGCGGTTACAAGCCGAGCTCATAGACAATTTAACCACTGGGACCTGATCCAATGGTCTATGGATTCCAACTTATGCCAATTCACGATAAAGCGTGATCTCTGGCCAGTGTCATCCACGAGTATTTGTTCTCACACCAGAGATCCACAAACCCAAAGTTTGGTCACACAAAAACGGTTTATTTAAAGTATATTATGAAACTTTATCTATAAGAAATGTAATACTTTGTAAAAAAATAAGAAATAACAGAAATGAATGCAGTTTATGGTGAATATTTCCGAAAATCTTATATAAGTCTGTGAGTAAAAAGTTCCTACACTGCGTCTAACTTACAATAATGTTTTCTGTAACAAGTGCAGGGAATGTCTTGTTAAATGTCCCAGCTGCACTAACCCATTTGCGTGTTATTTGTTTAACTGTCGTTTTACTTTCATAAAAAAAGAAGAGAATACATACGTGTGAGTGATTATTTATTGATAACAAAACTCAGATGAATTTGTTTAACAAGTGTGACATTTTGCATTTTACTATCTTAGGAAAAAAAACCTATTTGGTTGTTATCAGGCTTCACTTGTCAGCCGAAAGTCAGAGAACAGAAAACAGGCAGTAGCAGTCTGATCGTTTTATTTCTGAATTCAAGAATGAGATTTCAATTCTTATATACAGTGCATGAATATGTGGTTCTGTGGTAGAATGCTAGCCAACCACTCAGTTAGTTCTGGTCCGATTCCCAGCTGACACATATCCAAAACGTGCCTAGTCGGTAATGGGCCTGGAAACGATTGAGGGTTGGACGCAAAGTTAGCAGCATCACTTCTTACAAAACAACAATATCGCTACTGAAACTTCAATGCTTCAAGCTTTGATGCAGGAAGAGAAGTAGAAATGTAATGGAAAAATATAGTCGCTGATAGGAATCAAAGTGTTCTCGATTACAACGCAAGTGCTAGTACAATAGGGATATAAAAACGGCCATGTTTTCACAGCCTTATATGATTCATCATGAACATTCTTAGAATTTGAATCCGTGCTTGCTGACGGTCCAGAAGATTTCGAATTTCGAATGTCCAATTTACACCAAATAGTGTACATGAATATTAAGAAATCCATATGCTTAATTTACACTCATGAATACAAATGAATTTAAGCCTACTGGTAATTAGTCAACGGTTGTCCGCTGCTGTAGTCTTGTTAGTAGCCAGTCTCATAAGCAGTGTACCAAGAATGACTTCATGCATATTCCCAAATAAGTATATATCATATATCACTCCTAGCTAACTGCTTTGGTTAATTGGCAAGGCATAGAGTACAGTTCACTCACTATTTGCAAGTAACATAGTTACAGTTTACCTATTAACTGATTTTAAAATTTACCTTGGCACGAATATTCCAAATTGATCCATGGTTGGTGGTCTTCTTGTGCGTGGATCTCTTGGGGTTCTAGGACTTCCGTCAGGTTTACGCATGAATGCAAAATTTTGACGTGAAAATCCCTTTATATTTCACAGAACAGGAACAACAGAAAAAAATTAATAAACGCTTCTCTGATAATGTAAACACATTTTTATATCAATGATCAAATGAAATAAAAATATCATTAGTACTTTTTTGAACATTAGTAACTATGTAATATTCAAGCAAAAATTAAGTAAAAGTCATGTGCCCATCTGGGGTTGTAGTGTAGTAAGCGGTTATTGAAAACTGACTGGGAATCAAGATAAAACTGGTGTGAATCTTACTGCAACTCGAAGTTTTATTTCGCACTAGATCATTACCTATTATAACTTAAGTAGTAGTAGTAGTAGTCTGTCAGCCAAAGACTCCATAAAATAGTCTCACCATCAGTTGCACTGGATTCGACGGGACTCATACTTCAAATGTGTGTAAAACTTGAGCACTGTTGTAGTATGTAATTCCATGTTAGTGGGAGGATTTCATCATGACCTGACATCGGTTAGAGAACCATTGGAAAACCAACCAGGGATTACTAGACTGCTATTTCGTCAGCTTAGTTTGGGACACACCCTTCAGTAGTACGCACCCACCACTAGGGCTTGAACCCAGGGCCTTCTGGTTACAAGGCGAGCTGGCTCGTAGACCATTAAGCCAGTGGAATCCGATCCAGTGGCCGAATATGATGCTCACTAGTGACTGATTCTATTCAGGCAGTTACCTGGGGATCTAGTGGGAAGTCATGACCAGTAGGGTACAGCAGGTTGAAGGTGAGGCAGTAACTCATCAAAGAAGGCATTGCGAGATGGAGGCACTCTGTCATGAACTGGCAGAAGTTGGAATTCATGCACTGGCCATTGGATCGGGTCCCATTGACCTAATGGTCCACGAGCTTGCCCTGTAACCAGAAGTTCCTAAGTTTGAACCTCCTGTGGTTGGTGCGTATTGGGGAAGAGCCCCAAACTGGACTGACGAAACAGCAGTCCAGTACTCTCTGGTGGGCTTTACAATGGTTCTCCAACTGATGTCAGCTCATGATAAAATCCTCCAATCAATCAAAGAAAATCCTTGCAAGACGAATACTTGAAAATTCAATAATAATTTGTTTATTAGATATATCACACAATGAGGCAGTATTATTTACTGGATGTCATTTTGAACAATAGAATGTTTTCGAAACGTCATCCGATAAATATTTAAATGTTTCACCTGTAGCTCATAATGAATTATTTGAAAACGTATGATTGTATGAACCAGTTTCCTCTGTTTCAACTGTATAGCATCATAGCATATCCATCAAATGATTAATTTTGTGGAGTACTCAAGATCGACTGGAAACACAGAAAACTATACGAAGAATGAAGCTTTACTTTTATGTTTATAGGATCATAAATCCTCACCGAGTTTTCGTTTCATTTTTCTTCTAATTATTATATTCCTCTGTGTTCCGCGGTAGGATACAAAACTTCAAGCATGAGCTTTAAAGTTCCAGTAACAGTTATGTTTGTTTTTTACGAGGTGGAGTTACCAGTCACATGCTCATCCTTTCCTCTCTATAGGTCCATCAGCAGATAAGCGAGGTCTGGCGATTGAATCCCCGACCAAATGCGGGTTTGGCGGGTATTCTACCATTGAACCTACGATATTTCACTTCATTCACAGCCCCTTTAATCAGATAAACAGTGGTCGAGAGCAACCTGAGAGTAAGCTAATTTGATCACATAAGATCAGTGCTTACCATCGTCCCCCGTTGCTTCTGTGATATCATCAGTTAATATGAGGTTGTTAATCATTTACTATATGCGAAAATATCGATATCTATTTCAAACGATTCTACTTGCTACTTTCGTCAGGTTCAGGGAAAAAATTCAATTTTATGAGCTTCTTGAAAACTTCTGCACCAACTTTTTCATGCAAATTATCACGAAGAATTATCCTAGGTGAAATTTTAAACTACATTCTTGGATAATGCATATGCAGGTTAAATTTTAAAAAAAATTGAAACATACGAGAGCATGAGCAATCTCATGTCTGGCTGTATCATACAAAGACCTTGACTGCGGATAATCCAGCACAGTTTTCGCAGGACAGAAATTTACAAAACCTGCAACCGGTCTGAAATATACAAAAGAAATTAAGAAAACGAATACATTAAAAAATAGATTTTTATACACACACACTTTCATAAATTTAATAAGCCTGTATAAAAGTAACATTATTCAAATGCTAATAGGAAATGTTTTTAATTTTGAAATAAAAACTCCTTTTTAAAGAAAACACTTTTCGTATTTAACCATACTCTTACCTATCTGTTACCGGATCCATTTGACATGCGCTAGCGTAAGCATTGGTACTTGGATAAATGCAGCTTCCTGTATTCTGACTGTCGACAAACAGCAAATAACCATGTGCTTCTAATCCTTCACCCTTCTGGTAAACTGTCGTCAATTCGTTCCTATTATTCATTTTCAGACACTCCTTTAAAGGCAATAACATAAAGCATTCGATAGAGTTATGGAATCTTTTTAAATATGTCTTGCAGCCTAGACTTTATTCATAGATCTTCTCCTTTCAGTCGGTTGTCAAGTCAACATTTAAGTTAGACAACTATCCATTTGCTCAGTGTAAGAAGATTATGCTTGGATTTTATACTTAGTACTCAGGTTGCCTGTTTAATTTTTTTTGTCGCATTGAATAACTACTAGGTGAAATTGAGCTTCGTAAATGTCATCTAAATAAATCTTAACCATGCTTGACTGCTTTAAATCTCGTAGAAAGGAAAATAGTTTTCAGATTTTTAAAGTTGACTGTTTTTAACATGAGAAGTGCGAATAACAGACGGGAAGTATGATCTTTTTGTTGACCTATTCTGCTAATTTTTTATTTTTATTTTATTCCACCGCGTTCCCAGTGAAAAACAGGGTTTGAAGCTAAAGCGTTGGAGTTTCAGTAGCAGTGGTATTTATTTTTTTTATGGGATACGGTTGCTAGCCTCATGCTCAACCTTCCCCCTATTTACTAGTCTCATCACTGGCTTAACGAGGTAAAGGAGTCAGTTGGCCAGGGATCGGATCATGAACTACATGCAATGTGGTTGGCGCGCATTCCACCATTGTGTCAACGACGCATTTTGCTAGATGTTAACATGTTATTCAGTTTAATAGGCAGCACATTCAGTTCACCGAGTCATTTAAGAGGATCGAAAAATTTGTGCATTTATAACAATTATTCATTGCATAAATAACTTACAGTCAAATATTGAGTTGGTATTTTAAAATCACCGCATTTTTCAGTTTGACGACATTGTGTTTGCCAGCAAAAAATCGTACCATTTACAAGCTGATTATACGTCCCACCATCACAGAACCTAAATAATTATGAGGTAGGCTAATGAATTTACAAAATGGCTTTGAATATATATAAATATAGTACAACCTATACTACTGAACTATCCTGCTTCTAAATCGTAATTCCGTAGTGCTTCCTACAGACTGTAAATATATATCTATGCAGTAAACAGTATAGGAATTTTGTATACAGTACGAATTTTTTGGGTGGTATACAATTATTAATTATTTTTAAGGTATTCTTTAACTCAGTATAACTTCAGTATGAAATAGCATGTTCACCTAAGTGACAGGGTATACATATATATATATGATATTGAACACTATTCCGAACAATAATGATCATACACAATGGAAACTTTCAACATTACGTAACCAGATGAAAGAGAGGTAACTGGATATTTTACAATTACGTATACATATTTTTCAACGGGAGGGATTTGAAAGAGGTTACTTCATTCACTTATCTAGGGAGCATTGTCTCAACTACAGGCGGAACGGACGAGGATGTCAAATCGAGAATCGGGAAGGCGAGTAACACATTCATCAACCTGAAACCAATCTGGAAATCTTCGTCACTCAGCCTGCATCAACAACAAAGTGATTCGGATTTTCAATACAAACGTCAAGTCAGCCAGTTTTGCTATACGGATGAGAAACTCGGCGGGTCACAAAGAATATTTCCAACAGCCTGTTGCAGACATTTATCAACAACTGTCTTCGTTCTATACTAAAGATCAGATGACCGGAAAGAATCAAAAACAAGAAGCTATGGGAACAAACAAAACAAGAACCATTCGCTCAAAAAATATGCAGAAGAAAGTGGAGATGGATTGGACACTCGCTGAGGAGGCCGTTGGGTGACATCGCGCGTCAGGCCAACGCTCGAATGGAACCCGAAAAGGAAGCGGCGAGTGGGACGTCGGTGCAAGGGTGACATGGAGGAGATCGTGTGAAGAGGAACTGAAACAGTATGGATTAACATGGATGCAAGTGAAAAATGCAGCAGAAGACAGAAGCAAGTGGAGGCGTGTAGTTGAAGCCCTATGTTCCACTAGGAACCCAAGGGAACAACAATATTTTACATATTTTATATTACATTTTAGTATGACTTCACTATCAAACACTGTTCAAGTTTCGTATACGACGCATCCTGTTAAAGGAATTTATTGCAACTCACGACTTCTCAATAAACATAATTCAATGGGGAGTTTTAGAAAAAACAAGCATCATAAATCACAATAAAATCACTAACCTTTGAACAAGAATTTTACCATTTGAAGTGTCTTTAACTGTTAAAGTCTTTTGCCAGAAATCAATAGCACGTTGAATTATTTTTGCCTACGGAATAAATACATTTTTATATAATTGACAGTTTGCAACAGAATATCAGAAATAGCGTCATCAACTTCTTTAAACTGGGGGGTTCATTCATGTCTGTAAAAATGTTCGACCAATGGCTTTCAAGTGAACCAAGTGAATCGGTGAGTTAAAATCTCACTGTTAGATAGAATAGTCCTTAAATCCTACATTGTTAACATTCATTTCCTTATACTGTTTAATCGGAACACTATGGTCTGGTCATAGAATATGCAAAATTTCATTAACATATGTAAGACTTTCCATGCAGTCAATAAAGTTTTCATATATCTTAACGTATGAGAAATCATCCTTCATAACACTGAAATTCATTTCACTGGAGCTAAGACTCACCTAGCTAACATGAGAATAAGTTGTTTCGTTTAGTGATGTGACGTTTAATGACAGTGTGAAGAAATACTCCTCAGCGTAAAGGACAGTGAATACTGGAAAGCAGATGCTCTGCCTAAAACAGAACTGTTACACCTCTCCAAGATGCTCTGTCTTACATTCTATAAAACATTTTTTGGTATGTTGTATTTAGAATCATCTAATTCTAGGAATCATATTTTTACTCGCATACTCGCATGATTATTATCTGATATCATATTTTTTAGAGATTATCATGATTTCATAGTGAAATGACTGAAACTCACCTTTATTATACTACTATTTTTCAGTCGATTAAAATTTTCTGTGTATACTACGGTAAATTTGAGTGCCGCAGAACTTGAGCGCTTCTCCACACGAGATGATTCATCTCTCACAGCATATCCCTATTTATTATGAATAAAAAAAATAGGTATGAAGTGGAAGTGTGAAAAATTACCATCTTGTTATGTGGTGAAGGTCCACAGGCAGTATCATAGCCTTGGAAGAAGTACAAAAATATCAGAGAGAATGATAGTAGGATGGTGTACATGATGTTGATATGATGTTGTATACAAGGGTATCGTGCGTTTATATACCATTTTTTTAACAGCAGAATCAATTTCTATAATTTCAGCCGTTTTTTTTTAACCATGAAAACAAAATAGATCTCATTAGTGGAAAGAAAAACAGCAGCAGCAACAACAACAAAATATTTAATAAATGGACTGGAAATCATCTTATTTATTTTTGACTCGAAATTTTGTAACAAAATACAGGTTAGTAACGAGGTGAAAAGAAAATGGTTCAACACAATTTAAAAGCAAAAAAAAAGTTTCCAAAATAAGATGGAAATAAAGATCATGCAAATCTCAACCAAAATTAATCTTCTCAGATTTCTTAAGAATTAAGTGAAAATGTGTATATAGTAGTCTAATTAACTAACTAACTAACTAACTCCAGACATTTCGTGTTCATACAACCATATATTTAACATCCTGCCAGTTTTGTGAAACTAGTTCATTCTTAAGATAAATTGTAAAGAAGTTAGGCTAAGTTAATAGTTCTAGGTGTCATCAAACTGGGAACTCATAATTCCTATTAAGTTGTCTAAATTTTCAAACAATTATTATCTCTTTAATATCAATGAGGTGCTCACTAGCGACTGGCCCTGTTCAGCTAAGTAGTTACCTAGGGTTTTAGTGGGAATCCGTGACCAGTAGGATACCATAGGTCGGGTTGGAGGGTAAATCGCGTCATGTCGTGAATTGTCAAAAGTTAGAATTCATGGGCCACTAAATTGGATCCCAGTGGCTGAAGGGTCTACCAGCTGGCTCGCTTTGTAACCAGAAGGTCCTAGGTTCGAACCGTGGGGGTGGATGCGTATTGTTGAAGGGTTAGTCTCAAACTAGGCTGGCGAAACAGCTGTCGAATACTCCCTGGTGGGTTTTCCAATGGTTCTCTAACCGATGTCAGGTCATGATAAAATCCTGTAACCAATTATTACAGCCATTTTAGCATATCTCATGTAGGTAAGTGAAAGTCTTATGATGATTAGACCTACCTAAAATCAGTAATCGTGAAGATTTGTGTGAACCTACAGAAAGTTATTTCGCTAAGATATTAAAGGTATATGAGAAAAAGGAAACCCAGTTAAGAGGCCTATATCTGAAGGTAGGAAACTTTGTGGAAATCACACAACTAGTCTGTATGGCTGACTAAAGATCCTTGAACTGGCTATTCCTCTGCCTTCTATTCTGTACTTGTCAAATTAACTATTTTATCAAATTAAATGAAAGTGGCCTAAATGGAAAGTGTACACTGGCAGTTAGTCAAACATATAACCAAAGGTGCGTTTTCATTTGTCAACATCAATTTTTTATAAACCTTTATGTTCCGAGTCGAACATAGGGCTTCAAGCTAGAGGCTAGAAGTTTCAACAGAAGTGGTATCTAATTATTTTGGATAGACGGGATGCGGTTGCTAGCCTCATGCTCAATCTTCCCTCTTTACTAGTCTCATTACTGAGTGAGCGAGGTTTGGGAGTGCGTTGGCTAGGGATCAAACTCCGAACCCCAAGCAGCGTGGTTAGTGCGTATCCTATCACTGTGCCACCGACGTGTAAAACTGCTTCCGAACCGGAAGTCGAACCCGGGTCACCTTATCGCTAGATATTATTAAATGAAACATTCCTTTTTTTAGATATCATGTCATTGTTCATCAATCTCTTTCGTGCAGAAAAAAATGGCCCACATATATGTGATCTAACTGCGGAACGAAAAGTGGACATTGCAGATGTGAATCTGCGAAAGTTAACCAGCTTTTGTACAAGTGCATAACAAATGACCACTTTATGCTTAAGAAAGAAGAGTTTTATCAAAAGACAAATACGCTTGAGATGATTTTCTTTCTTAACCTGTTATTGGCTGACACTTTTTTGGCGTAATTGGAACAATGGCCTCTTAAGAAAGACGCCGATTAACCTTAAATACTATTGGCTTTATATGAAAAATACGTTTTATTTTTGTGATAAGAATTTTGACGGGGAACTTATCCAAGTCTTTACACAGTCACTAGATTCACTTACGAAGAATAATATCCGGAAAGCATCCCATTTTTGGATATTTTTATCTTCATGAAAACTACACAGAAGTTTGAACGTATACTTTAAAAATATGTTAAGATTCCCATTTTTCGAAGATGATTTAGAAAATATGAATCGTACTATATGGCAAAATGGTTACCCTTGCAAAATCTTAAAGACGTATGTATTGAGGGAAAACTGAGTAAAAAGAAACTTTGCATTAGAATTTAGTTCAGGTGCAAAGTAGCAAATGACTTGCAAAATTTCACGCTTATCAGACCTATTGAAGATACATTCAAGGCGATGAAAATATGTGTATGATAATGTCAACAAGACCTCTTTGGAGATACTTCAATAAAGATAAGGTATAGATGACGTACATATCAGTGTGTAGTGGTAGTTATTAAAAACTGTACTCTGTCTGTCTGTCTGGATTCAACATAGGACTTGGCACCGAAGTGCAACAGTTCGAGTTGCCACGTTCCAAATAGCACACAAAGGTAGACAAGAAAATGAGTGAAGAGAATCAATAGAGTTTTGACAAGTATAAGAGTGAAACAGAATGAGTAATGGTAGAAAGCAATATGAAAGATTACAGAGACTGAATACATCTGCACCATTGACAACGATTTTGAGCCATGTCACCTATTGTCTCCAGCCATTGATTCTTAGGGTCCCGAGGGCCCCGACCAAGAAGTCTGCATTTCCCTACCTGACTCAGTTTAACTGTTAAGGATTTCATGGATTGATGCCATGTTTTTGTTTGGCCACCACTTACTCTTTTCCAACCTGCACCTATATCAGCTAGTAATGCCCGTCCGTCGGGGGAGGCGATGGTTAGGCATGCGCAGCACGTAACCTAGCCATCTCAATCTATGTAACTTTATAGCCTCTTCGATTGATTTTCCCTCTTTGCCCAACACTCTACACCTAACGTCAACATTACTTACCTTATTATGCCACCTAACGTGAGAAAGAGATCGTAAACATCTATGATCAAAATCAGTCAACCTTTTCATGTCTTTAACTCGTATTGGCCATGTTTCAGAGCCATAGAGAAGGACGAAGCGAACTGCTGAGCAGTACACACGTCCCTTGGTTGATAGCCGGATGTCACACCTACGCCAGAGACGGTGTAAGTTAGCGAAAGCAGCCCGAGCTTTCTGGATCCGTGCTGTGATTTCGTCACCAATCAATCCGTTGGTGCTGATACAACTTCCCAAATAGGTGGAGTGGTCAACATGTTCTATCACTTCACTCCCAATCACTAAGCTAGGAGTTGACGTAGTCCAGTCCTATAGCAGCATCTTGCATTTCACAGGGGCGAATCGCATGCCAAACATACGAAGTTTGCTGCTCAAGGTGTTCAGAAGACTCTGCATTTTGTCAGCATCCTCCCCTAACAGGACTATGTCATCTGCATATTCTAAGTCCATAAGGCTATACCCTGGTAACAAGTCGATTCCTAAGTCGTTAAGTTCATTTAAGGCTACCTTTTAGGATACTTTTAGGCTAAATAGAGTGTTGAATAATTGATCGACTGTGTATTAAAATCTTTGTGGTAATGTACATACACTTTATGAATTTCACTTCGTATCAAACCAATGCTTCTGATAAACATGATGATATAACTGACCACTGAGTTTTCAATAGTCCATAAGACTATTCCCTGGTAACAAGTCGATTCCTAAGTCGTTAAGTTCAGTTAAGGATACTTCCATTAGCATATCTGTGATGAAGTTAAACAGAAAAGGGGAAAGTGGACATCCTTGACGGACACCACTGGTTGTTATCAATTCAGATGACAATTCCCCATAAGCCCTTACACAGCTACGTGAGTTTGAGTAGAGTGCCTTGATTAGTGCAATGCACTTTCTTGGCACTCCCTTCACAGTCAAACATTGTCATAGTACCTCTCGACCCACGGAGTCGAAGGCCGCCTTTAAGTCAAGAAATATGGCAATTGTTGGATGCCTAATGTGTGTCTGTGTTCTAGGATCTGTCGGAGAGTGAAGACATGATCTATGCACTCTCTACCTGGCCTAAAGCCTGCTTGATTTTCCCTCGTTTGTTCCTCCCGGGTTCGGCTTAGTCTACTGTACTCAGAAGATTGTATCCACACACACAGCAGCAAAACATTCGGCTTGGAGATGGATTAACCAGGTTACTAAATAAAGAGCGAAGACCATATCTAAACAGAAGATTCATTCAAGGTCATACATCAGATGTTGAACACGATTCTCATTGAAGACATTAGTTGAGGGTACGACACGTAGCGAAGTGACAAAGATTTCAATGGTCACTTGATTCGAGCACCACTGACTGAATGGTCAACGGGCTGAGTCTCATAACCTGAACGCGCCAGTTTCGACCCGCAGTGACCTCGTGGGTGCTTACTTCTGAAGCGTAACAAACTGGGGACAAAATAACTGTCCAGTACTCCCTGGTTGCCAATGATCTCTAGACGAAATCTGCACCTAAATTAATCCAGATCAGTATAAAATCTCACAGTTTAATCACCAATTTCAATCTCAATTATAAATTTCACGAATAAACTATTTCATAATTTTCTATCGTATATCCATTGACTATACATTTCGCATACATTTGAATCATAGCAATGATCTGACTGCCATTTCATCTTCTTGTACGATTCTATCCACTTTGTCATTGTTGCTAATACAGTTTTGATTTTTCCTTCCTTCCTTTCTTTCCATTCTACGTATCACATTCTCCTGCAGACAGTTAATCCAGTCTAACGCTAAGGACAAGATACCGCTTTTGGCCACCTCAGTGTGTATTTATCAATTTACTTGCTCGTGTGGAGCAAAGTATATCGGCCGTACGCAATGTCAAGTCCACAAACGTATTCTGGAACA